TAGTATCTAGAGGTGGATTTGACCAAAAAGAAAAAAAAAATATCTAGAGGTAGACATCGTTTCCGTCTCATCCCGTTATTCATCATAAATTTTTGTTTTACATAGGGGTGTTAAAATGAAGTAGCTTGCTCAACTCGCTTATCTTATCATGAACTATAATCTTTCATGGCTCAACTAATATGTTATTTGTAATGTTTTCAAAACCGAACCGGACACTGACTCGGCTTCATCATCGGTTGGAATCTAAGTGTATATATATATAAACGTTTGTGGAAAAATTTTGATTGAAGAAGAGAGAGAAAAACATAGTAGTTTGAGTTGAAGTATAGTCGAAAAAGTGATCAAAAGTGGTCAGATAGATTGTCGAGAAGGGAGACTTGGCCTTCAGAAAACAAAGAAGATTCAAGTATTTCAAAAATATTGTTTTAGAGAAAACTTAAGCGAGAATTTAAATGTATCTCCTGTCTCTCGTTAGATAAAAGTATAGAATTTTATATGACTGAACTAGAATGATCGGGTCATGCGTCCTATGTCGAATCGGGTCCAGATCCATCAGTTTAACTTGTACGAACCACTCAAGTCCTTTTCACCTACCACCTTTGTCTTTGTGTGCCTTGTTCGACCACTTAGTCCTAATGCTTAGTTAGAGTAATATCATACAATGCGGTGGGTTAGATGTTGGGAGGTTCCTTAGAATTACTTTTGTTTGCTTTAAGCATTCAGTGGAACATATTCTAGTTGTTTTACCTATCACATGCGCAGTGTAAATAATATTTAATCATTTGACCGAAGACCAATTTGAATATGTTTACATATTTGGGTGTTCACTATGGAAAACTAGAAAATTATACATTGTCCTAATTTCTAATACAAAAAGCGAGTTATGCATTCGACTTTCCGTTAGTTCTCTAACATGTACTTCTTACCACTCACTCTCCAACTCAATTAATTTTTACTGGTTTAGTCATACTATTAAGGGATCAGGGATGAATACATGTGGTCAAATTCAACAAATTACTTGGATCATTGTAGGCCAGGCTCAATTATTTCTAGGACTCGCCCAATAACCAACTACAGAATCACATCTATTTACGATTTATTTTTATTTCCATCACTCGTTTTTTACTTTTCACATAAAAATATTTTCTAAATTTCTAGATAAATTGCATATCGTCTTTCTCCGATCTAAGGCCACTTTCTTCTCTTTTCCTTTGTTTCTTGACTTTCTCATACTTTCTCATAATCATAGTTATTTGTTTTACTTCGTTTTCTTGTTTGAGTGTCGTAAAACATCACACATATTTTATGAGTTTTGACGTATTTATTCATAAAACATTTATGAATAAAACGTTGTGGAATGAAACATTTATGAAATTTTGTTGAATTTAAGTCTATTAATTTTGTGGAATTTAAGACTAGTTTTATGAATAAAATGTTGTCGACTGAATGATTCAGGATTTTTACTATTTATGATGAATGGAATGAAATGAACATTCCACTTATCCCACACAAAAATAATCAAAATTAAAAAAAAAAATACTCCTCTGCAATTTTGATGAAGAATAAATGAGATCTATTTTTTAATATAAATGGGATATATTTATTCCATTATTTTGTGTATTCCATTCTTTTGCATTCCACTCATATATATTCCATCAATCTTTTTTATGTTTACCATTTAAAGTCTTATTGCTGTATAAAAGACTTGGTGTCACTAATGGTTGAACCCACAAACTAAATATACTTTAAACAAAATTAAATGCCACTATGTTTTGGTACAAAATTTGGCTTTTATTTTTAAAAACAGTTTTTTGGATAATTTTGAGAAATAGCATTTTTGTTTCTAAAAAATTATGACATGCTTTATAATTTAATTTTAAAATCGTATTAATATCTAGCTTAATATTTAGTTTTCTGAATTCAGTTTGAGTGTTTTTTGCGGCTTTATTGTTTTAATTACATAAAAATTTGTATACTTGTAAAATAAAATATATTTTTGGTAAAGAAATCAAGATATATAGTAATTTTGAATTTTTATAACTACTTTATTAAAGATTTTTGAAAATTGTCAACAAATAGTAGTAATTTTTTTTAAAAAATCTATATTTATGATATTTTTGAAAATCTTCCAAAATTTTGTAAATTTTTTTTATTTTTTTTGGTTGGCAGAAATTTGATTATAATTTTTTTTTGTTGCCGTAATCGTGATGGTAATTATGTCTTCTGTGGGCTATTTACAGCAAATTTTCTCATGTTTCAATATAAAACCAAAAACAAATTGACAAAAGAAAACTAAAACCCCAAAACTACGATTGTGTAGTTGGTTATTTCAAAGTGTTGTTTTTGTTTCTGTCTTCCTCTCAAC